CGCGAGAAGCCGGCCCGGAGGCTTGGCCTGCCGGGGCCAGCGTGGGCTGCTCACCGTTGCTGGCCTCTCTGCCCCCCATCACCGTGCCGAGCCGGGTGCCAGCCCCAGACACCCGAGTCCCCAGAGCCCGGAGGAGACCCAGGGGCTCATCGTGGCTTTCCTCCTCCTCACCCCACCCAGGTCGGAGCCTGGTGCGGGTCTGTCCCTGTGGCCATGGCTTACTCTGCGCTGGGCTCGCTGGTGACCCATGGCGGGTATGGCCAGGGGCTGTGGGACGCGGTGGTGGTGCTGTGGTTGGGGGGAACAAGGCCCTGCCATGGAGAGGGCGATGGCGGCAGCGAGGGGTGAGCTCCTGCAGTGCAAAGAGACGGCGTGGGACAAAACCACCGAGCGTCCAGAGCTGCCGAAGCGGCTTTCCCACGGAGGGAGAGGTGAGGAGCTCCTCGCTGCAGGGCCCCAGGGCGATCTGAACCTTAGCTGGGTTGAAACGAAACTGGAGGAGTGAGTGGAAGAGGGAAAACACCCACTGGCCCTCGTTAAACACCACGCCAGGCTCCACAAGGAAGCCATGCCAAGCCGGAGCGGGGCAGCCACAGCTCCCAAACGCCCGCTCCAAGCAGCGGTTTTGCCGCTGTCCCCCAGGTTCCACTCCCAACCAGCCAGGAGAAACCCGTCAGCAACACCACCAGGTGAGGGCTTGGGGTTGTTGTGTTGTTTTTCTTTTTCTTCTCTTTCTTCTTTAAACCTTTATTTAGAAACTAGAATATTCACCCAATCTACAAGGTTTCTCTGTACAGGTCCCGCCAGGTGAAGAGCAACACTGAGAGATTTCTGCATGCAGCCCTGGCTCGCCAGACGCATTGCTTCGGAGAGCTAGAGCTGTCCCTGCGTGCAGCATAAATACACAGCCCAATGTGCTGCCCCTGACATGAATTACAGAGGTGTCGATTTGGAAAGCATTTCTGAACTCGCTCCCGTTGGAAGGAGGGAGGGACGGGAAAGCAAAGGAGTGTTGTGTGCTGCCTAAGGGCACTGAAAATGCCCTCGGGGCTTTGCCCTGCGCTGCCGGTGCTTGCCCCAGGGACACAGTGTCGCTGGGTGCATTGAAAATCACATTTCACAGTATCGCCGCCAGCCCTGGTACCAGTGGCTGAGCCCTGGACAGCAACGGGCTCTTTCTCTTCCTCCTCTTCAAATTTGCAGCTCGTCTGAGCAGAGGAGGAGCATTTGCCGAGAAGTGGTGTGGCTTGGCAGGAGGGTGCCTTTTTTTGGCTGGTTTATGCCCATTTTTTTTTGTTTTCTAACCTGGGGAACATGCAGACTGGGAGTAAATGAAACGGGCCTGTTTCCAAAACACGTTAAGAAAAGGAAAAAAAAAAAAAAAAAAGGCCCTGCTCAGGGGGACCTTTGAGGTAGTCAAAATTTTTTCCTTTCCATGTCTGGCACCAGAGAGGGAGAGAGAGCGCGAGCGAGCGCACACGTGCCTGTGTTTGGCTGTGCGTCGTCAGGGCCGTGCCTGCAGCAGGGACATCTGGGCGTGCAAGCCCTGCGCACAGGGACAGCTGCGTGCGCCTGGGAGCTGGCACGCCAGTGCCCGTGCATGCGTGTGGCTTTGCACATGCCTGTGGCTTTGCACCCAGTGGCTGGAGAGTGTCCGTGGCCGTGTGTCTCTGTGTTGGGGGCTTCCATCACGGCAGCTGGCTCGGGGCTCCCCTCCACAGCTCCACTGGACCTTTCAGCCCAAAGTAAAAGGGCCATGTCTCGTGATACCACTCCCTGTCATGCTCCTTGGCCTCATCCTGTAGAATAAAAACTGCAGCAACCCTGAGAGGAGCAGACATGGTACGAAACACCACCTTCACCTCGTCCCTTTGGACCCTGCTCCACGTGCCAGGGTGAGACTGATGCTCTCCAACTTGCCCCGGAGCACTCTGCTTGCCGCAAAACCAGGGCTGACCCCAAAGCGGTCAGGCACGGGGGTCCTTGGGGGTCGTCACCCGCCTCTGAGGCAAGCCCACCATGGCAGCCCTGCTGCAAGGAGAGGGTCTCCCTGCAGCAAGCCCCCAGAAGCTCTGCACCGGAGCCAGGGTCCCAGGTGTGTTCAACCCCTGCGCCACTCCCGCTGGGCCAACCAAGCTTCGCTGCTGCTTCCTTGGCCATGGGCAAGGGCAGCCCTCCTCGTCCCTTCCTTTTCCTGCCAGGAGGAACAAATCCCTGAGGAATTTCAGCTGGGTGCATTCCTCCGAGTGCACGCACAGTGAGGCCAGGAGAGGGGCTGGGGAGGCAAGCATAGCCCGGGCTGGCGCTGGGAGCAGCCATCGTCCGGGATCCTCTTACCAGGGACAAAGTCCTCGATCCCCCAGCTGAAACCCAGCAACCCTGATGGGGTCTCAGGGCTGGCAAGGCCCGGCCTCGGAGGAGGGCCCCTTTCCCCAGCTGCATAGTGGGGATATAGAAAGGACTTTGGCAGGGGTGAACCCAATGGGCACAGACTCAATGTCATTAAAACCTTGCATGGAGATTTGAGATAACAAATAAAATCCCCTTGACTTCTGAGTTGTGGCAGGCTCACACACTTGTAAACTGCCCAGCTCCCTCAGAACAGCTTCCCTGGCTAGTCAAACCTTGAACATCTCCAAAAAATGCCTGTGCCACATCCCTCCCTGCCTCCCTCCACCCTGCTGTCATCATGCTCCGGTGGGAGTGGTACCTAATGCAGAGCATAAACCCCTCTGCGCGCTCTCTCGCTCTCTCTCTCTTAATTTTGTGCTAGATTTGTTGGGTTTTTTGTTGGTTTTTTTTTTCTTTCTCTTCTTTTTCAGCAACCCCCAACCCAGCTGGAGATAAGTGAACCACATTACAGTACAGGAACAAACACTATTGCAAACCCTGCCCGCGAGTGCAGTGTCTCTGCCCTCCTCGCCCCGAAGGGAGATGCCTCCGAAGGACTTGTGTGACACCAGCAGAGGCTCACCCCATCCCAGGGCAGGGATCCAGTTGCCCCAGCCCCTCCAGTTCCAGCTCTCCAGAGAGGCTGAGCTAAAGGACGTTGAGTTTTCTCGAGCACGTCAAGTTACTATGGACCAAGTCCCACATTTGGAGCAACTCTGGAGGCAGCAGTTTATGAACCACCAACATACTCCGGAAAAAACACGGCTCCTTGTTCATCTTGCTGTTCTTGTTCTTCACAATGCCAAAAGTTTTGAAGCCCTCGTGCCCAACAGGTGATACTTTAAGGACCTCCAAGCACATCCCTAGGAAGACATCGTCGATGGGGTAAAGCTCCAGCGTCTCCGAGGTCTTGTGCAGCCTCTTGGCCAGGGGACCATCCATGATGAAGCCCCCACCTCCTGCATAGGGTGGGTAGTTGCTTTTGTTGTAGAGGGCGCTGGGGATGTAGTACTTGTTCTCCTTCTTCCTGATCGGCTTGGCCTTGTAGAGGACATCCCCCACAAAGAGGTCCTCTCCCTCCTTCTTGTCCTCCAGGAACTCCAGGATGTTGCTGGGACTCACAAACACGTCATCGTCACCTTTGAAGATGAAGTGGACGTTGTCACAGTAGATGTTCAGCCACTTCAGGAAATGGACCTCTTTGAGGGTGAGGTTGAAGAAGCTGTCCAGGAAATCCCACTGCAGGATGTCTCCATAGATGTGGTTCTCATAATCCAGCAGTTTCTGGTAGTTGGCTCTCTCCTCCTCCTTGGAGGCCGTGCCCAGCAAGAATAGCGTCCTGATCCTTTTGCCGTCCACCTCCTTCTCCTGGCCCCAGGTCCTCCGTATGGCCTCCCGACGGTCATGCTGCGTGATGATAGACTTGACCACAATGAGCAGGTAGACATCCCCACTGCATTTCTCGGGGTGGTTGATCAGCATAGGGAAGTAGCGGCAGTGCCGATAGAGCAGGAACTGCTGGAAATTGGGCTCCAGCCCTTTGAACCAGTCCACCTTGCTGAAGTTCTGGTTGGCCGAGCAGTTGGTAGTGGTGACATCCCAGGATTTCGCTTGCTTTGCTGTCATGCTCTCCTCCTCCTTCGAAGGAGCTTTCTCCTTCTTGCTTTTCCAGAAAGTGCTGGTCATGGAGAAGGCATTGTCTCTCTTCTGTGTTTTCAGGGACTCCGGAGGGGACAGCTCTTTCTGCTGCTGGCCCTGCATGAACTGGCTGGGGGCCATTCCCCGTTGCAGCACCGTCATCGTGATCACCAGCAAGAAGGAGAGGCAAACCGTTTTGTAGATGGTCTTCTTCCTAAAGGGACGAGATGGGGGGTTAAGGAGAAGAAACTGCAGGCTGCGAAAGGCTTGTCTGCAAAAGCACCTCCTGGAGCGGCCATGGGATGCTCGTAATCTGTGTCACATCACCTTTTGACGGGCAGCAGCCTTATGGGAAGAGCTGTGGGACACCTCCACGCATGCTCTTCCCACCTCCACCCTGCTTGTGGGGCAGCTCGGGGGCCACACTCAGCCGCAGGGACAGGCACAAGGCAGGTGGCACGTGGCTGCGGTGTCATCTGGTAACCCTGGGTCTGTGCAAAGAGCTGGAAAGGGTCCATGGGAAAGAAGAAAATGAGTCCAGAGAGAGAGAGATGAAGTCAGGATGAGAGCTTCAGCAAAGCAGCCATTTCGGAAGAAAGTCCCAGGGAAAACCCCTGTTTCAGCCATCTGAAAACTGCAGTTTAGGACAAGAGCAGCAGGGAATTATCTTTTCCACGGAAGCGTTGGCCCCAAAGCACAGATGTACTGGCCGTGGCCCGAGACTGGCATCACAGGTTACACAGCACAGCAAGTGGAGCCGGGAGAACCACAGGCGTCCATAGGAAACGGGCATCACCATTTCATTTCAAAATGGTAGTTCGGGACGAAAAAAAAAATAATGGCCATTTGAGACAAACTTCAAGGTTCAGTGGGGAAAAGATCCCTAACGGTGCCTCTGCCTTGGGACCCAGCATTTCTGGGGGCACTGCTGGGCGTTTTGGCCAGCTCTCAGGACCCGTCACTTTGCTGTGCGCTGGTGAGGACAAGGACGGCGGATGCATTTGCCCCCCTGCGCCTCCCGAGTTTGGGAGAGGATTTCCCAGCCTGCAGCGAACCAGCTGCCTGCATGTCCAGGGTGTGCGGGGGACTGGGGGAACTGGGGGTGGTGGATCAAACCCAGCCCCTTGTGGGGCCATCCCACCCCCAGCTGCTGACCCATCGCCTGGGGGAGCTGCTGACTCACATCCAAACCCCAGAGCTCACCGGGGGCTTGCGAGGGAGCCTCCTGTGGTCCCTGGGACAGCGGGCAGGCTGCACCCAGAGATTACTGGTGCACCAAACCGCCCACACAATTAAAAGGGGGGGAGTTTCTCGCCCTGCTGCCACGGAGGAGAGGAACTGCCTGCTCTGCCCGTCTGTTGCCCCCGAGTGCCCAGCTCCCCCCCACAGCTGGCACATCTGCACCAGTTTCCTCCTGCCGCAGTCCTGCTTGCTCCAGCTGCCTCAGGCCATCTCCCCGTGCCAATGAGTGCCAGGGCACCAGGTCGGCAGTGGGACTCCACGTGCCCACCGAGGTCCCGATGGCTTCCTGAGGGCAGCCGTGTATGCTCCCACATGGAGGGGACACGCTCAGCAGCCCCTGGAGCCCACTTCCCTGCCGGTGGGTGAAAGGGACCTCAGCTGGGCAGCCGAAGGAGATGGATGTGGCACCGGTCCCACGGCTCCCCTGCACCTGTCCTCTTGGTGACAGACGCATGTCCCAGCCCAGGTGCCACCCATCAGGGACAGCCCTCAGCCTCCCACTCCCTGTTAGTGCCAGAAAAGATCCAAGATCATCTCTACCAGGCAGATGGCACCTTCACTCTGAGACAGTCCAGAGAAGCAGCTCGGGGCCGAAATCTGACCCATTTAACCCAAGTAATTTCCAAGTAGCCAAAAAAACAACAAAAAAGCCTTGAAACTCTCCTGGCCCTGGGGCCCAGATTGTGATCGGCGCTGCTGGGAAGCTGCTGGGGATTTGGGGCACAGGCTGCACTGCAGCACCTGTTGGTGGGACCCCCTGAAGCCCCTCGGGCTCCCCAGGACAGGGGACAGCCTTGCTCCTGGGGACTCCGGCCACCCTGAAACGCAGGAGCCCCGGACAGGAACTGGGGGAACCAGGCGCTTTTGGGACCTCCTGTCCCCGGCTTCACCCTCAAGTACAAAGAACTTTTCAGCCCCGCATTTACGTGGGAAAACTGTGATCGCTACCCGTGGACTGTGAGAGCGAGTGTGGAAATAAGTAATTACTGGTAAATGGATAGATATTCCCTATTGGTTTTATATGTGGCCACTCATCTGCGACTGATGAGGGAGCAGTTCTGATTACATCTCACCATTCCCTTAACCCTCTCCAGCCGTGGTCACACAGCTCTGAGGCTGTTCTTAGAAACGCTGTGGTCTGATACAGTGGCAACTTTAACCCCTGCACAGCCAAGGAAAGTTTAAACCCCTCCATTAATATGCAGCACTGCAGCAGAAAGAACACCAGTGTAACAACCCCCATTGCACCAACCCCACCCTGACACCTCAGCCCCATCCCATCCCACCAACCCCATCCCATCCCCACCACCCCGAGGACAGCACGTGATGAAACACCCAGCCTGGAGGAGGATGGCCAGAGGTTCTCCAGAAAACACGGGCAAGGAATTACTGATAGAATTTTTTGAAAATTTGCATAGGTAGGGTTGTGGCTAACTGGCACAGATGGGTCCCACCAGGGCAGGCTCTGCCTGCGATAGCTAGGAGCCACCTGGAGCCGCTCACCCCGTTACCCTCCTTGGGTCCCTGCTTTTTACTTCAGCCCAGGCAGAGACACTGCCCTGGGGGTGAGGGGACAGCTCTGTCCTTTAGTACGAGGTGGGGGTGTTGGGTGGCCCAGGTACATCTCGGTATGTCCGTGAGGTGTTGCACAGCAGCGCAGAAACTTACTCCTCCTTCCTCGGCGGACACCGTTTCTCCGCTCTCACTGGTCCAACGTGCAATTTTTGGTTTGTTACAAAAAACTCTTTGGGCTTTTTCCTATGGGTCTGACTCTGCAAATCACGGGGGCACCGCCCGGTCCATCAGGAGCCGGGAGCCCCGTGGCCGGCTTCTGCCCGGCAGAAATCCCTGTCCTGGCGCTGGCAGGAAAGCAACGGGGCCTGGGGGTCCCTGAGCCACAACCACAGCCGATTCCCACATCAAACCAAGGATTTGGGGGAGAAAAAGAATGACAATCATGTGCGGGTCTTTTCTGATCAGAGGTCGTCCTGCTCTGTGGTCTCCTCAGTGGGGAATTACTTTAGTGGGGAGAAAACAGGTCCTGCTCTCTGGAGACCCCGAGAATCAGCACTGTGCAGGAGGCGAGGGCGTGGGAGGTGCAGAGAAACCTCTCTGCTGAGCCTTGCTGTGGGGCACAACCGCCAGCCTGTCCCTGGCAGCGACCCGGGAGCCTGGGGCACCCAGCGCTGCGGGGCTGGGGACAGCAGCGACCCGTGCCCTGTGCCCTGTCCTGGCTGGGCTCCCACCGGCTGGCCCCCAGAGGGCCTCGGAAAGGGGCCAATTTTTCCGGAGAGGCACGGAGCCGCTTCTGATGTGCATGAAAACCTCTTCGATCGGCCAGGGCTATCTATTTATTGGGATTTTTCTGGCCCCTCAGTGAGACCCAGTCACTGAGCTGGTGGCACCACCAGGACAGAGCCCTTTCTGCTGGCAGCGCCCAGGGCTTGGGAGAGGGGGGTTCTCCTCCAGGAGCAGCGGCTGGGGAGAAAGGACCCGAAAACAGCCCC